AAGTGTTGAAGATAAAGACCACAAGGTCAAAAAGTGAGAGTGAAGAATTACAGGTGATGATGAAATTACTAAGACGAGATAAGGAAGAAAGAGATCGAAAATTAGAAGCACGATAAAGAATTTTTAAAGAATATAAACAAATTACAGAAAATTAAAAGGAGATCAAGAATAAATTTACAGAAAACTAACAGAGGATTAGAAGAATGAGATAAGAAAATGAAAGAACATTACAAGAAATTCGGAGAGAGAAGTTAAAAAGGAAATATATTATTAATATATTCTATGACCATTCTTGCGCATAGATTTCATAAAGTAAGTAAGAATATTCAACGTTTAAAAATGCACAATAATATACTGTATAAGTTAAAAGTAATATGTACAATTAAAAAACTCTACATGTTTTGGTGGAAAAAAGCTCCACCAACTTCAGGAGATCAGAAGAAACACAGAAATATTGACGACTTATGTAATAGCTGTAGTTATGGGTAGAATGAATTTGCTTTGTTTACTCGTCAAAATGCTCAGCCACGTTCTCGCGACGACCTTGACACACCATATTAGGAAAACCGTGTCATGATGTACTTGTTTTTAAAGTATTCTAGAAGAGTGTGTCCACTCTTTGGTGGCACCATCTATGGTGCTGTGTAAATATTTTCATTCAGTCTTTTAATTAAACTTTACAAAATTAACATGTCATAAAAATAACAGAAAAAAATAATAAGAGAGACATGTTCGCACCCCTTTGTGTAGCGAAGGGCCAATAATTTCACATGTAATATTAATCATATTTTTTTCTAGTAATTTTGTTCTGTTCTTAGAACTAGTTCCTAAAATAAAATTTATTTTTAAAGCACTCCGGAACAATGGCTCCCCCTAGAAACCAGATTTCGATGATACCGTGGTTGGCAGACCACAGATAGCCCATTGTGTAGCATTGTTTTTAATTACAAACAAAGAAACAAAGTGGAACAATGTGTCCATTGCTTAGCACCGCCATATATACCCCTGTGTCAATATTTGTATTAAATGTTTTAAACTTTAAAACGATTTGTAGCAAATGGTTTGTTTGTTTGTTTGTTTTTGAATTTCGCACAAAGCTACACAAGGTCTATCTGCGCTAGCCGTCCCTA